CAAATGTCTCTGGATCGTTATTTTGTGAAAACACCAGCCACCGAGCCAGGAATCGAACCACTTCCCAGGATACAAACACGAGAAAAAACACCAGAAATGCCTACGCAGTTGCCCGACCTTATTATGGAATGGGACTCTCCTTCGAAGGAGTAGTCTTCCTTCTCCTCCTCTACCTCCTGTAACTATCAATCGCAGAGGAGGTAAAGTTATGGTGCTGTATGTTTTATATGATATATTTTTGCCACACATAACTTCATAAGAAAAGTCAACAAACCATGTTTCTGGGGCGTGCGAACGGATTAACTGAAATTACATTAATTTCAATGGGAAAAACTGTTTCGACTCGCGAACATTTCGACTTGCGAACGGAGTCAAAGAACGAATTAAGTTCGTGACTGGAGGTACCACTGTATATCCAAATTTTGACAAAATCTATTTCTCTAACAGAGCAAAGAATTGAAATATTAGATTTACATTGTTATCAACTACGCACTTAAAGTTTCTCCGTATGCCAAGTCGTACTTCGAAAACCTAGAATCATCCGTTGGATGCCTTAAAATGAAAATTCATTTTTTCGATCAAGTATATCATCTTTTCAAAATGTACTGTAATGGTGGACAGGTTTGCCGCTTGCACTTGTAAAAGACACCAGTACAAATTTTTTAGGGTTCTTCGTTTCTTGTCGCTGAAAATCGTTGGCAGATAAGGTCGCCCTCGCAACTGCACAAGGCGCCTTCAATTTGTATGCGATTCTCTGTACAGCGGAAAGCGACGAGTTAAAAACTTGTTGCAGCTGGCTGTCCTGACTGACCTATTGATCGACCATTTCTCCCTATGTCACGGAAAGCAGATTTATTCGCTGACGGTCAAGATCAACTGTGATTCGCAGTCCCACCGTCGGGTTTTGTATGTAAAAACAGATGTACGCTGGAACCACGTTCGCTGTGAAAGTCGAAGGAGAGTTATCAGAGCGATCCCCTATTAATCGTGGAGTCCGTCAAGGGTACTGCTTTTGACGTTGCTATTTAGCATTGTGTTTGAATTTCCTTGAAAACAGTCGTCAATCTGGCAAGACGAAGATCTCATTGCCTACAGCAGGCACAGATATCTGGCTAAATATCTTCCTGTCCTGGATTATGCAGATAATTATGTCATGTTGAACAGTACAGGGAACGGGTTCTGTCACCTTAGGGCATCTCTATTCAATACAGCTGCAAAAGCCAGTATCTTCCTTAACGCTAGGAAGTCAAAAGTTATGAGGAACCCATTCAGAATAGCTGACCTACAAACAGAACAGGGAGTTGATCAATTTAAGTATCTCCGCACAATCATTTTCATAAATGGCGCCATCCACCAGTTATATAGGAGGATCACCTTAAACTCGAGTGCTGGCAGAGAATGGAGCAATTCCTTCTACAAAAATCTGCTTGTACCACGCCTATCAGGTTCGTGTTATTGCACGGCAAGGCGACAGCTGCTCCAGCGAAAGAGCAAGAATTATGGTTCAACTGCATAGAACACTACTGACATACACAACACTGCTGACTTCGGTGCATAATGAGGGTCAAAGAGCAGGACCGCGTAAGGAATGACTATTCACTTCAGGACATAGGTGACCTTGGTAGAAGTGGAGATGAAGAAAAGGAAGTTGGTTCTGTCAGAAAAACTGCATAAGCATACACAATTTACTCCAGCCCATGAACTTCTCGTGTGGCAAAACACGGTAGACACGCAAAGCCGAAACAGCAGCATGGATCAACAAGGTGGAAGATCTGACTTATTAGAAATAAATATCCCCGTCTGCGATGGTAAACGGTGCCTTATAGCAAATGTTGAAAAGCTGCACAGACAGTGGACATCACAAATCAGAGACCTGCTTACGCAAAAGACTCACCGTGATGTTCTCAAGAAATAAACAAATTTCTTAGTCAGATTTCATTCATTTAGACAGAGTTTTATTTAAGATATAGAAATAGAAATAGAGTTTTAACATTTTATATTATGCATCAGAGAGCATGGTCTTATATCTTGTGGGGTTGGCATGAACACACAAAAATACCATGCTGTCCCTAGTGTTAATAGGTCAACGTTCTGCTACCTTTTTTGGCGGGCTACACCGTAGCAGAGTAGGATGAATTTCTTGAAAAAGGGAACTAGCAGGTAATAGAAGAAAATTCACGCCTAGCGCTCCTGCGTGCAAAGACACCTGCTAACAAACTGCACCGCTGACCCCTCCCCAAAGCTACACCCAGTGCTGATTATTACATTGGACAATCAGCTATGAAGTGGGTAAAGGCGAAATGCAGCCACAAGGGGCGCTCGCATCGGACAACATGGTCGTATATCTCGTTCATTCTAGCATATCTGCACCAGAATACAATGCAGTCACTATTTTTCACAAGTCACAGGCTTATTCCCATTTCTCGGCTGTTTGCACCGAAGCAACGCGTGGTAAATCATTGTTTAAAGAAATTTACGGATGAGACAAAGGTTATTCTTTCAATGGACTCGAATCTGGCACCTAGAGTTGAAAGTCAACTTCTGCCACTGTGCCACAAAGCCCCAGCACAGGTTTGTCAATGCGTGATTTTGTCCATTACAAAGTTAGATAACTGTATCAGGACTGATGAAATATCATTATGGGCAAAGAAAATATACTTTCTATACTTTGTCCTAACTTGCTATCCCATACTCTGGTTGCTGACAGTTTTATGCGGATGTGGACCTCAAGACTGAATTAATGGAGAAAATATACTGCGATGAGTGAGCGAAAAGTAAAAACCACACCGAGAGAACATATAATGACCTTTGTAATAACTAGAATTCATGTTAGCTTTCTAGAATATCTACGCAAACATTTACATAGAATTGAGAGCAAAACGTACGCTGGTTCTCTCTACATTTATGCTGCAACGACGGAGACAGTTATGAAAACTTTTCTAACTTCTGGATATTTGTTTCAAAATACAAAGAGTAAAAGTGGTATCAACTGAAATTACTCCAGTATCACTTGTAGATTCTTAACCTGTAATCTTTTTCTAACTCATACGAAACAGATTTGTAGCGATCTTATTCGGCCAAAAAAACTTCCAGCTAAAGTCAAAAATATCAATGATATGTTGACTATGCAAGTAGAAACACTAGGCAAGACCAGTACCTTGCTTCCAAAAGGAATAGTGGACCTTTGATGTAGAACGAAGCTCCACTGTATCATTTGTAGCACATGGACGCAAAATGCGATGAAGATTTTAATTTCCATGAATAAAACGCAGTACGGAATCGAATGAACGAGTGCAATCTAACTTAGCCATTTTAATACATTCTCATAAACCATGACAATGATTAATGCATAAATTAGATCACTCCGTAGCAACAGACAGGAAATCCATTAACGTTCGGTGATTGGCAACTTCTGAGCTCGCACACATCGTCATTGTTGTGGTGTAAAATTAATTGTGGGTGAGGAAGACTACCTGGGTGTACTCGAGACCTGATCCCGTTTATTCGGTACCGACGAGTAAAACGTGCATTCGCAGTCTTCTCAATCCTGATGTATAACCTGGAAACATCTACCCTTTTAAAGCGCCATGAAAAGATGCTGGGACACTTTTCAGGAGCGCTGTCTGCGGAACATTCTGAAGGTGGTTCTGTAGAATGAAGAACGAAATGATCATGGAGACGACTGGCCTCAGCATGCTGTCTCAAAAAATCAGAGACCGGTATCTGTAGTTTGACAGAAACATCCGGGGAGAGAATGGAGACTTGTCCAAAGCCATTCTCCGTGTGAAGTAAAATATGGCCGCAGGGGTGTCAGAGGTCAACAACGTACCCTGAAGCAGCTGCTAGAGGAAGACTTGCTTGCGATGAGGAACATGACCTTTGATGCAGCAACTAACAACGCCTAAATTATTCTGAAATGCCAAAACATCAGACTAACAATTTCAATACTCGGTCTTTGACCCTGGTACTTCAGATGATGACAACTACAACAAGATGTCATCAGATTTGTTACCTTACAGTGACAAACGACATCAATGGATTATAAAATAAACGTAAATTTAGAAATATCAGCAGTACCATCAGTCAGGAGAACCATCGAGCCTGAAAGCCCACAGGCTGGCTCGGTTGCATTATGACGTTCAGTATACTAGACAACTAGAGCCAGATCTAACGCACTAACACAACGCGCGGTTTCAAGTAAGATTACCGAGAACGTACGTACCACGGTGACCGACGGATCACTTTCGCCGTTGGCGACCGTCAGAATGCAGTCGGCGCGACGTATGCAGCGCTTTGTCCACGGGGTGATTTCCGCGTCGCATTCATAGAGAACGATCGAATATGCGTCCTCTTGTTCGCTAAGCCACGTCAAAAGCCGGCTTTCGTTAACACTAAATAAACCTACGGGTCACGCTGCTGTCCAGAAGACAAAGACGACCTTGATGCTGGACATCATCTAAGCTTGTGGCGACGATCTGAAAGCCCGAATAACGTTCGAACGCAGTTGCAGACACTTTATCGCAATAAACCGGCTTTGGATGACCAGAATCTAGGTTCAAGATGGAAGCAGAAACAGAAACTTACGTATCGAGTGCCGTCGGTCCCAACGTATCCAGTACGACGCCAGACGACAAATGCAACGTTGGCGTTATGCTGTTCAGAGAATGCCACAAATCAAGGGAAAAGGCAGGAATAGACACGTCGTGTTTTACCGCCATGACGACTATCGTGTTCAGATTGGACATGTGTACAAAAGGTTCTCGATATACTATAAAAGGGCAGACAATAAACAAAACTACGTGCAAGACAACAATTACTTGTCGATAACTTCTGTTGCTGCTGTTCGATGATACACTCACCCAAAAGCCGTATCAAGTTGGAAAGAACCTGAACATAGACATAATATTACTAATGTTATATTTCTGTGTCGTCCCAACTTAATAAGAAACCTTCTCACCTGGGGGTATTTGATCTTGGTGAAATTCAGCACACCAGTGTGAATCTTCGCGAGTTCAGTTGCTCTAAAAATCAATTTAATTAAAGTAAAAAAATGTCTGTTCCATTGATTCATGATTTCAGGCTCAGAGGACAAAAACAGAAGGAAACACGTTCAGCCACTTCGAAATGGGAAATGAGAAGGGCCGACCTTACTTGAATTAATCCTATTTTTCCAGTTTATATTTAGGTATCAAGGATTAATGTTACTAAATTACATTCATGAATCGATTCTCTGTGTTATTTTTTCCTTCACTTACCACTTTTCTTTGACTGCAGCGTTTCCTGCTAGTGGCTTTAGTCTTGTTTTTAAACTTTCCTCGATACCAAGCCCGCTCAAAAATTCTGCTCGTTCTCATCGAGATGGATCGAGTTACAAAATTTGTTACAATTTAATTTACAACACGACTGGTTATCGCAAGACCTGTAGTATCATCAGGTAAATAATAAACTACAATATTACAGCGCTATAATAATAATATAGAGGTATAAATCTTCAGATTCAGTGGCAGTTCTAAATTTCCTTGTTCCTCGAATAAGCTTGTTAACGGACATTACCTGTAAACAACAGATCGAGTTTTGCTTTCTCAAATGGATGAGGATTACTCTTTGGAAACAACGTTCTCGTTGACTGCCTTATGAATGGATATTTTTACTAAAGCGAATTCCTGTTCGTACCAGAAATAGAAACATTAGCTCTCTGAATGAATGTCTTTGATGTTAAGCGTGCTCTGTGATGGCTGAAAGCATATTAAAACTCTTTCATATAGTAATTCGATTTACTAAGCGTTTTACCTATATGAAACGCAGTGTGCTCTTGGTATTGGATCTCACAGGCAGCAGAGGAGTTTTTGAAAGGTTCTCTCACTATATTTAATAAATAGTTTCCCCCAACGTCAATTCTTATTCATGATAAACACTGGAACACTTTAGTCATCCATTTAAAAACTAAGAGGTAGAAGCAATCAGAGGGATGCATTGAGAAGAGCTTTAAGAATAAAAGAAGGCGATGAATCAACAGTTTGCCACTTTTCGGTGGTGCCTTAAGCTGGAATCTGGCTAGAATAACTCACTCATGAGACGATATGCTGCAGATTCGTTGAAATATGTCGCGCAAGCAGTCAGTTTTATACCCATGACTCCCGTTTGTGCTTCAACTTCACCATATGCATGGTGCAGATGAACTGGGTCAAAGAAATGGGTTCCAGAAAGTGAGTTTGAGTCAGCTGAAAGTGCGAACTGGTAGATTTGATTTGCCTGGTTACCAAAACTTAATTAAATAGGCACGGTCGCTCTCAGACTCACAGGTGAACGTGAGAACTCGGTTATGCTGGATCTTTACTGCTAGTACAGACGACGAACTTATGGAAATGGTCGAGAGGCTGACCACAACGATGAAAACGATAGCGTGCACG